CCATCTGATCCACACTCGCACTGAAGACACTGTTCGGAGCACTGATTGAATTAATGCTCGTTTACTGTGTATTGAAAGGCAATCAATTGAAAGAGTATTCAGTGGTTTCTTCGGACATCTCGTCGACCATCGGATCCATGGCTGAGACCCAGAGTCAGGCGTATTGTCTCCGGCGGGCGAACCACATGTCAGACATGATTGAGTCCTTCGACCGTATGTTCAAAGACGAGTCGATGACTGACTGCGCCCTCATGTGTGCCGAAGGACACGCTCTCAAAGCCCACCGTATGATCCTCTCCGCCAGCTCTCCCTTCTTCAGGACTGTCTTCGACCAGATGTCCAATCAGTGGCCAAACTATCCCATGGTTTACCTCAAAGACATGCCAATGGCTGATCTGAGAGCCATCATTGAGTTCATATACACCGGCGAAGTGACTGTCAGTCAGGAACAGCTCGAGTCAGTGATCCGGTCGGGCGAAGCGTTGCGTATCAAAGGTCTCGTCGATATCGATCACCGCAGAGACAACGCCTCCAAAACTGCGACAACCATTTCCAGGAGAAAACGCCGGCGAAGGCATCGACGCAAGTCTGCCGTCACTGAAAATCACAAGAAAGACACCCAAAACGAGGCCAACAATGAAGACAACAAAGACGCGCAGTCTTTAGACGAATCAATGAGTGAGTACTCGGATGAGGGAGAGAGCGGTGAGTCAGTGGTGGAGATGGCAACTGATTTGAGTGGTTCCCGGGCTTACAATGAGAGCGTCGGCGCCTCCGAGGATGGCATCGAACCCTCACGACTGCTCGAACAGTCTATGATCACCGGAGATGTAAGACTTGCTTTCCCCACATTTCAATCCATTTATTACATGTATTCTTCATTACATAACAGACTCAGGAAAGTAATAGTATTAACCAATACTCTACTTCTTCGACACCTCATCTCATAGCTAACGTCGAGGCAGAAGGTATTAATTATAGCCAATAATTGTTGCAATTGTTATTCACAAAACTCTTGATTTGATGGATGTTTAGATGTAAAGCCCGTGATATATGACGAGCCAATTGCTCTCATATCGTCGGCATTAAGAGATGAGTGTAACTCCGATTCACAACATCTCAATAACAACACAAATGATAGCCAAGAATCTCATAATTTTTAGATGTAAAGCCCGTGATATATGACGAGCCAATTGCTCTCATATCGTCGGCATTAAGAGATGAGTGTAACTCCGATTCACAACATCTCAATAACAACACAAATGATAGCCAAGAATCTCATAATTTCGACACATCGGGCGTACAATCCATTGCCGGCACGAGTCGTTCAAATCACTTTGGATTCAAAGGTAAACCAGTATTTTTATATATTTTTAAATACCAATCATTAGACTTGTTATACCATTATTTAAATTATGATTCTATTTAATCGATTCATTTAAAGACAATAATATTAATATTGTGTTAATCGTCTTAACAATAATATTCATTGATTCATCTAATTTTACACAAACTTTATATTTAATATAACAGTAATACTGTAGTTAATGACACACATAAACAATTAAATGATTAAATGATTAAATTAAATCATAACAAGAAAGGCATATTGAGTTGTGGACATAGTTGTGATAAGCAGTTGAATCGATTGTTGCAATCAGACATTATAATGTTTTGCATACAAAAACTTATATTTCATGAATTAATAGGACTTTTTTAGTGTAAAATGTTTGGATATGTGATTGACTGATAAAGTGAGAAGACGTGTGTATTGAATATGTGATTGACTGGACTTTTATTGACATTTCAGACAAACGTAGATCAAAGTCGGCGAAGAAAGGGCTACTCTCAAGACTGGGATCTCAATCGATGTTTCACATGCGTCAGCAGCGGTTCCACTGCCATATATGCCATCAGGGATTCACTGCTAAACGCAATTTGCAGCGACATATGCAGATTCATAACTATTATAGAAATAAGTTTGAGTGCGAGTTATGTCAGCGACAGTTCTCTTGGAAACACACACTTAATATTCACAGAGAAAAAGCACATAATATTAACCCATAGCCAAACATTACCACACAATTCATTCAATTTGATTACATTACATAATATTATTATTAATTTG